TCGCAATTGTCATAAGTCGAGGACTACCTGTACATTTGGAACAACCGCATGGACTGTGGGTCGGATTTGCGAGCTGCTACCTGAAGCAGCCATAAATGATATTTACCTCGCTCCATTGCTGCAGTGTCTAATTGAAGGCTTGAGTGCAGAGCCAAGAGTGGCCTCCAATGTCTGCTGGGTAAGTCAGAATCCTTATTCTGAATAGATGTTTGAGTGCTGGATAAATTAGAAAAAAGGCTTATGGTTTTGAATCTGCAGTTGTTCCAAATGTACAGGTAGTCCTCGACTTATGACAATTGCGACCAGAATTTCTGTCGCTAAATTATGCAGTTGTTACGTTGCACATGATTTTATGAGTTTTGCCATGGTTGTTAAGCAAATCACTGCAGTGAATCCAGATTTCCCCATTGAATTTGTTTGTCAGAAGCCCCCTGGGAGGATTGTAAATGGTGATCAGGTAACCCCAGGATGCTGCAACTATCCTAAATGCATGACAATTGCCAAGCACCCAAAGTTTGATCACATGACCACAAGGGACACTGCAACAGCCATAAGTCACTTTTTTCAGCACCTTCATAACTTTATATGGTTGTTATACGAATGGTCATAAGTTGAGCACTGCCTGTATAAAGTTACAGGTAAAACATTGCCACTAGGACAAAAAATGTTTGGTGATAGACCTATTGTTTTATTTCTTATTAATTTATCAAATAATGGAATTGGGAGATGTTAAAGAAGGATGCAAAGGTTGGTGTCAACATTGGGAAATTAATTTCTTATGTTGAAAACAGTAGCTTACCTAAATAGGAAGCTTCCTGAAATTGTCAGCTTCTAAATTATTGACACCTAATATCTTTCAGGCTTTCTCTAGTTTGGCAGAAGCTGCTTATGAAGCTGCTGATGTGGCTGATGACCAAGAGCCTGCAACCTACTGCTTATCCTCATCCTTTGAATTAATTGTTCAGAAACTTTTAGAGACCACAGACAGGTAACTTAGTCATTCTTTATCCATTTGACTGCTGACCAGTGAGCTTCACGATATCCTTGAGTTCCATTTTATAAAATCTCCAAATTTTCTGAGGGCTAATGTGTAATATCACTAGGTTAGTTCTGTAGTGATTGGGAACTCTTACATGTACTATAATTCCATAGAATTGCACAAAAGCTACACACATATGGCTTCCTGGATTTTGGCACAAGCCACATTGTTGCAAAGATATTGTCAAATGAGTATGAATAATGTCTACTAAAACAGAATGGGAGAAAAAGTGTTCTGGAATTTACTTGGAAGTTCTAAGAATTAACGAGAAGCAGTATAAATTATATAAGAGACAATATGAAAAAAATCATGCAAATTCATTGAACATGCATAATTTACTTAGGTTTCAGAATTGTGATCCTCTTTCCATAGAATATGGAACTTGGACAGGGTTTGGGTTTTTTTTCCAGGTTCAGGCATAAAGCAATAAAATATAAGTACTTTTAAAATTCTGCTCTTGCTCTCTGATTTCAAATGCTCAATCTCTACCTGATATGGAGAAAGGCTAGCTGACTTTTGAGTAAATTTTGTAGCAGAATGAAGCATGGAGCTACATAGTATTAAAATAATTCAGCATATTTTAAACAAGTTTCACATCATCTTGGAATTATCTCTCTCTTTATATACCAGTTTGAAATACTGTCTATATCTGAAGTTGATCCTGTAAAATAATTTGCCCTTTAAAAAAAAATTATGGACAGCAATGATTACTACAGGTTAAAACTGGGGTGAGCAGTTTAGAATAAAATAAGTAGCAGTGTTTTTATTTGGACTAGATTTCATGATTTCCTTTCAAAAAAGCAAAAGCAAAGCCTAAGCCTGGGAGAAATGTGAAGACAATTCTCTGAGGAAGTTAATTAAATCTGTTATTCCTATGTACTTTGTCAGTTTAATATTATATCCTTACAGTACCTTCTGGCAAACAAGCATTTCTTTAATTTTACTTTGTTTACAGGCCATCTTTTTTTTTGAAATTTTTTTATTGGTTTTATTACAGGAAAAGCACAAAAAAAAGAATCATCTTTCATTACATCTTGTAGAAAGTGTATCCATTGGTCACAAGTACATTTCGTGTGTTTCTTCCACAATCACANTTGGTGGCTGACTAAATACTTTTTTGCCCCACTGTATATACTGTTACTGTGATTACTGTATGTTCTCCATAAGTCCCAGTCTGATTTCAGTAACATCTCTTTTCTGGTATTGTGCTAAGTTTGCCCTTGCAACCATGAACTTAGTCATTTTTGATACTGTGTATTGTAATATATATCTTGGAATAATTCCTAGTAAAAATGTGGTTTCATTTCACATTTGATTTTTAAAATTTTATGAATAGTGTTATGTATTTCCTTCCAGTACTTCAAAATACTGGAAAGTTACAACCTGGGGATGGTTAGCACCTTGACGGCCTTCCCCCTGTCACTTAAATTTTAAGTTATGCTTGTTTTTATCTGGCTCCTTTTATTGATGTATCATATTTTATACGGTTTTTAGGTTTTTATATGCTTTTGATTGTACACTGCCCAGAGTGTCTCTGTGTTATGACCCAGGTCACCTAGGCAGAGGCAGGCTTCTATAGAGTCCTTTATTGCTCTGCTAATTCTACAACAAATGGCCCTGCAGCAGCCGGTAAAGCTCCACTCCAAACTTCCCCGAAGGTAGCCACCCACAGTTCCACAAACAAAGCCAATGATCACCAGAGCCAAATCACAGAGGCAGAGAGGAAGTCCATAAACAAGGTGCAAGTCCACAAAGCAAGGGTTGAATTCCACAGACAGAAACACAATTCAAGGCAGAGTTTTTCCAAGACCAGGGAAGTGTATGCCAAAGCAAAACAATTGTTCCTGACAAAGACAACCTCCCTCAGCCTCTGCTTAAGTCAACCCAAGCCAGGTGTTCCACATGAGGAGCGCCAGGGCAACCTTCTCACAAGCAGCCTCACAAACCTCCTTTTGAGGTTGCCTTCGCTCCACTGTCAATGCCCTCAGAGCGAGTGGGGGAGGCAGCTGTTACTCATCAGAGGGGATCTGCTACCTCTCAACACCACTGCCTGTCTGAAGCCGATCCTTCCCCATGTTTGTGAGGGCAGGCAGTTCCCCATCCAATTGACCACCTCCCCCAGTGCCTGAGGGGCCTGGGACAGCAGCATCCTCAGCCCCTGGCTTCTCCATCCCTGTCGGATGGTCCTGGTTCCAACAACTCCTATGAACTGGGATCCAATGGAGCCATGATACTGTGAGTGATATAGGTAGTACCTAAATTTGGCAAATAAATGTCCACAACATATGGCAAGAGGCTTTTTCTCCCCTCTACGCTACAGTACTGCCATCTTTAGTATTATGTCTAGTGTCTTCCCTCTATACTTGTATTCTACCCTCAGAATTACCTTCACTTTGCTTGGTTATTAATAACTAATCCCAGTACCCTGTATATTAGATGTTAATATTCAGTGTTTGATTGCATATTTTTTAAGGTTCATTCAGTTACTCTGAGTGCTACTTTTATTATACAAAAGCAGTACTACATTGTTAAATTGGTTCAGGTTTGCTTATTGAATATTTCATGGCAAACCAGTGAACTTGAATATCTTTATGTGATATATTTTAGCCACAATATTGTATTATTCAATATTTTAGGGTAACTCCTACTAGACTAGCATATTGATTCCGTTTCAAATATACATGGGTCTGAACCCAGAACATACCTTACAACTTGCCTGGCTTGGGATTTGATTGAGCCCTTTTGGTTGAAGGGACCAATTGAAAACAAGGATTTTTAAAAGTGCCTTGAACATTCTCTAAGACATGAGATGTCTAGAACAGATTGATTTAATGGGCTATTTATCTCCTAGGCTATGCCTACTCTTATAGAGTTAATGAAAGACCCCAGCGTAGTAGTCAGAGATACAACCGCATGGACTGTGGGTCGGATTTGCGAGCTGCTACCTGAAGCAGCCATAAATGATATTTACCTCGCTCCATTGCTGCAGTGTCTAATTGAAGGCTTGAGTGCAGAGCCAAGAGTGGCCTCCAATGTCTGCTGGGTAAGTCAGAATCCTTATTCTGAATCGATGTTTGAGTGCT